GTCTGCTCCATGGAACCCCACATCATGCACAATAGGGTTGGCCTACCCTAAACTGCTAAGATCCCAGGTCTGAAGCCTGCCCTCCTCCAGGCCACACTTTCAGTGCGTTTAACTCAGCGTTAACTGGGTAAAAAAATGTCAAGGCCCTTGTTAAAATGCAAACTGTGGTTCAGTGGGATTGGAGAGGGGGCAGAGACTAAGTTACTTTTTAAAAAAGAATATGTGTCTTGCGTGCGTGTGCACTCACATGTATGTGTGTGTGCATGCAGAACACACATGCAGAAGGTAAGCGGACAACCTCAGATATTGCCCCTTGCCTTATACCTTGTTTAAAGCAAAGTGCCTTGGGGGTGCTGGAGAGATGGCTCAGTGGTTAAGAGCATTGACTGCTCTTCTAGAGGCCTTGGGTTTGAGTCGCAGCACCTACACGGTAGCTCACAACTGTCTGCAATGCCCAGTTTCAAGGGGCTTGGCACTGTCTTCTGATCTGTTTGGACATCAGTCAAGTATGTGGTGCATATATACACATGCACACAAAACACACATACACATAAAATAATAAAGCAGGTACCTCCTACTTGTCATGTTCTGTATACTCCAGGCCTGATGATCCTCCAGCTCCTGGGAGTTCTCCTGCCTCTGCTTCCCATCTTGCTATAAAGTGCTGGGCTTACAGGCCTGTCTAGCAATTATACTTAGCTTTTATGTGGTTGCAGGGATCTGAATCCAGGCTTGGCTGAGCTATCTGTACTCACTGAGCCATCTCCCCTGACCCACAGAGAGGCCATTTCTAACTAGGTGTTGGTGGAAAACCAGGACCCAAAGACCTCACTAGGCAGTTTGTGCCCAGAATATGCAATTAAGAGCTCATAATCTGTTCCTTCAAATTGACCTGTCAGTGGCCATCAAAATGTGGCTACCCAGTAGGCCAATGTCGCCCAGACCTGTAATCCTAGCACATATGAGGAAGAAACAGAAGCATTTAAAGTTCTAGGCCAGCTAGACTTGGGCTATGTGGTAAAATCCGGTCTCAAAAAATATTTACAAAACAAGGCCTAGGGGACAGAGAGCTGTTCTAGCCAAGTGCTGGGTCAGCACGAATGAGGACCCGAGTCTGAATCTCCGGCACCCATGAAAAAGCACACGCCTGTGTTCCTACTGCTGGGGACGCAGAGACAGGAGAATTCAGGAGAGTCTTGGCCAGTCAGTCGAGCTGAGAAAGGTAAACCTCAGGATCAGTGAGGGATCCTATCTCAAAAGTTAAGATGACAGAGGAATCTGACACTGACCTCCACATGCACCAGTCATACCCAAAACACATACAGGTATATCCACACACATTCTCTCTCTCGGCAGGGAAATGTTCTTAGTGCTAAGTACAGGACCCGAATTTAGTTTTCAGGACCACATGATGGAACGGAAGGAAAGAACTAACTCCTGCAAGTTGTCCTCTGGCCGCGCTATGTTAGAGGCCTGGAACTGCCCGCGAGCAGGAGCATGTACACACACACACACACACACACACACACACACACACACCACACACACACACACACACACACACACACAGAGTTTAAGCCTGCCAGTGGGTCAGTGGTGGTGCATGCCTTTTATCCTAGCACTCTGGGAGACAGAGGCAGGTAGATCTCTAAGCCAACCTGGTCTGAAGAGCAAGTGCAAATTCCAGGACAGCCAGGGTTATACAGAGAAATCCTATTTTGGAAAAAAAAAAATGTTTTGCAAAAACAACAACAAAGTATAACCAACAAAACGTAGCTGCCAGGGGAAACTGGCCCACCCAATCCCTTAAACTCCTCTTACTACAGCTGAGAGGGACAGGGCTTGGTCAAGGGCTTACTAGCTGCTGATGTAAACCTCCTCTACCCCCCCCTCCTCAGAGTGAGCCTTTTCATCCAAGCCAGGAACTACAGAGGGGTCCTGGCAGAATAGAATGCCCAGAATGCCCTGCCAGCTCTCCCTCCCCTCCCCGCTAAAGAAGTGCCACAGCTGCTAGACAAGCCTGAATTTCCCAACCTGCCCATAAAACCAGTTTCCCCAGGTCCTTGCAATACAGTTTCTATTCATTGGGTATGCCTCCCCCATCTAGTTGAACTACAATCTGTCTTTAAAAAAAAAAAAACCAACAACAAAAATTCTCTTTGTTAAGGGAGCCCTCCTTTCTCCTGTACTGGGTTAAGGAAGACAAACTTAACATTAGATATGGCATAAAGATAAATGTTAATAAACAAAAATACCATTAAATCAGGGCTGGGAATTAGTACAGTTGTAAGCACTTACCTAGCACACTTAAAGTCCCCAGGTTTGATCCCTAGCACCAGATAAATCAGGTTCGGTGGTGAAGACCTGTGATCCCAGCACTGAGAGACAGGAGGGTCAGAATTTAAAAATCAGCCTCCAACACACTGAGTTCAAGGCCAGTTTCTGCTACAAGACCCTCTGTCTCAGCTGGATGTGGTGGCACACACCTTTGATCCCAGCACTCCGGAAGCAGAGGCAAGTGAATCTCTGTAAATCTGGGGCCAGACTGGTTTAAAAAGTGAGTTCCAGGACAGCCAGAGTTATAGGTAAAGATGGGCATGTCTCTGCCAACCTGGTCTATGTAGCAAGCTCCAGCTCAAACAGAGCTATATATAGTGAGATCCTGTTTTTTATTTTGTTTGTTTGTTTGTGGGGGAGGATTCAAACAATTTATTTATTATGACCTGCAAATATGATACAGATTATAGACTGAGTCCCAGTGGAGTGGGGTGGGGTAGGAAGGCTTTCTTCAATCCCTATTTTTGAAATTGCTGATATCCTGTAAGGAGGGGACACAATGACTTTTTTGTTTGTTTGTTTTTGTTTTTCGAGACAGGGTTTCTCTGTGTAGTAGTCCGGACTGTCCTGGAACTAGCTCTTGTAGACCAGACTGGCCACGAATGAATTCACACAGAGATCCGCCTGCCTCTGCCTCCCGAGTTCTGGGATTAAAGGCGTGGACCACCACTGCCCATTGACTTTTAAGTACTTAAGCTTACTTACAGCACCCAGTGTTAGTATTCAGGCTTCTGTGCCAGCCCACCTGCCCTTGGGATTCTGACAGGCTACATCCTCAGCTGGAGCCACTAAGAGCGCCTCCTGTGCACATTCACTCCCATCTCTTTCCCTCTCCTTCCCCCCCCCATCTGTTCCCTTCTCTCTTTCTGCCTCTCTTCTTCTGCAGCTCCTATCCTCCGAGGCCAGTCCCCCCTTCCTTCTTTTTAAGTCCTTTTTCCCTTAAAACCCCTCCACGTGAACTCTTTTGCGTGGCCTCTTTCTCTCACCGTTTTTTGTTTGTTTGTTTTTTGTATGTTTGTTTCTTTTTTCCTAAATTACAACACCCAGGCTCATTGTTTCCACCTTTACCCCAAGTTATAAACAAATCAGTTAAAATGGGGCCTGGCACATATGTCAGTCATCTGTGATAGGTCAGCTATCAAGACCTTCAACAGTCTGGACCAGGAATGTGTACTTGTATTTTTTGGGGGGGAGGGCTGGGGGTGTTTTGAGACAAGGTTTCTCTGTAGCTTTGGAGCCTGTCCTGCAATTCGCTCTGTAGATCAGGCTGACCCCACCTGCCTCTGCCTCCCAAGTGCTGGGGTTAAAGGCCTGCCCCACCACTGCCCTGCTGTACTTGTTTTTATTTTTCCACTTATTTATTCGCTTACTTATTTAGTTTATTCTTGTGTGTGTGTTGCTTGTTTATTGATTCTTGTGTGTGTTGCTACAGCATACAGCTGTAACAACTGTAAGTCAGCCGATAACGTGGTTGACTAAACCTATTCCACCACGCGGAACTGCAGGACGGAACTCAGGTTGTCAAGATTGGTTGCAAGTGTGCCCATCTCCTTAGGCCTTTTCTTTTGTTGGAACATGCTATATAGACCGAGCTGACTTTGAACTCATCACAATCTGCCTGCTTTTGCCTCCTGAGCGCTGGGACACTGGAGTGCCTTACTACAGTATCCTATTTTGAACCAAGCCTGGAACTTGGAGACCCGACTCTGCTTCCTGAATGTTTGGATTAACGGCAGAAGTCACCATACCAGCTAATTTTATCTTTTAAATATTTGCTATTTATGTACATGGGTGTTTTGCCTGTGTATGGATGATGCACCACTTTCTCCCTAGTGCCCATGGAGATTGAACATATTGAACAGCAGTCTCGGATCCCCTGAAGTAAGTGACAGATGGTTGTGAGCCGCCCTGTGGGTGCTGGGAATTTAACTCGGGTCCTCTGTATAGAGCTCTTAACCACCGAGCCATCTTTGTTTTTTCCTATTTAGATCATTTCTGTAACAAAGGGTTGATTGACCCCGAACTTCTGACCCTCTTGCCTGCACTGCCAGAAAGAACGTGTACAGGTTTTATGGTAACAACACTTTTAAAAAATGGCTCGTCAGCCCTTCAATGAAATGTCTCTTTAATAGAAAAAAATTTTTTTTTTTCCCTCAAAGGCACTCCGAATCTGAAGCACCTTGCAAAGGGCTGGGTTAATTTGGTAACCGCGACGCCTTTGCTTCATCCATGGAAAACACTCACAGCTCGGTGTAGGCACGTTAGGGTTAAATTATCATCTTGGAAATTAGGGGGACTGCAAGGAGGAGAGAATTAGGAAAGGGAGAGCGCGAGCTGCCCGCGGGCGAACGCGTCCCTACAGGCTGGAAAATGCTCCCAGTCGAGCCATTAGGGTGCGAGAGAGAAGATGGATGGGTCCCAGCCTGCCAGCGCGCTCTGCGTCTGCGCCCTGTGCACCCGATGCGTCCCGCGAGGCCGTTAAAACGGGAAAGGAGAGAAGAGGAAGGGAAGGAAGCGGAGGGAGGGACCAGGCCCGCGGTTCCGGCGAGCCCGGCTCCCGCGCCGCGAATCCGCTCCAGGTCGCTGACGACCTGAAGCCGCTCCACAGACCTCGGCCGCGTTCCGTGCTTTCCCATTAGCCCTTTGTGTCCCAGCGCGCCACTGGGAACGCGGGAACGCGCGCTGAGCTGGGCGCCTGCGCAAAGGAGAGCACGCCCCAAACAGACGCCTGCGCAGAGGGAGGGGGCATGCCGCCCGCACGCCTGCGCAGAAACAGGCGCGCCCCGCCCGTAGTTGAGAATGGGCCCCCCTCTTCCTCTGCCCCGCCCCCTGCCCGCCATTTCGTGCTCCGGCGCCTTTCCTGGGCCGATGTGCGCGGCCTCCGTGTGATGGACGCCCGGAAGCCGGTACAACGAAGTCCGTAGTGTTGAGGCTGTGCGGGCTGCAGGTTCTGCCGCTGCTCGCGGCGCCCGAGAACGGGGGGAGGTGGGCACTGTGTCGCCTCCGGGATGGGTCTGCGGGCCAGCCGCTGCGTGCACAGCCTGGTGTGTGCTGAGCCCTGGCGCATGCCCTTCTCCTGTGTGTCCGAGTTCAGTAGCCTGCACTCTACTCACCTGTACACACTGTCGTCTTTGCCCTCTTCGGAGTGTAGGAACTCATGGGATTCTACTTACCGTGTGCGTTAGTTTGGAGGATGTATTCGACCTAAGTGTGTTTACAATTGTGTTTTGTTTGCACCTCCTGGCTGTTGATAATCTGAGTGCGGAGCTGTTTGCGAGGCTCGGGGAGCTGACTAGTCTCACCAAGACAAACCCTACCTCTGTATTCTGTGTCTGGGAAAACCTCCCATTTGTAGCACAAAATCTATCGTTCCTAACGAGTTTATATGCAAAACCTAACCACCTGTTTCCCAAATCCCGTGCGAGCCTGTTTAATTATTTGAGACAGGGTCTCTACATAACCCTGACTGGCCTCTAATTCAGAGACCAGCTGCCTGTGTCTTACAAGTGCAGGAATTAAGGCTGTGTGTCGCCACTCCCGTCTTACATTTTCTTTATATTTAAGTTTCTCTTTTGGGCAAAACTTTTTGCACAAGGGGCGGTACAATCACTTGGAGAGTGGCCCATGGGTTAAATAGGCAAATAAAGGTGTCATAATGTCCCTGTGAAGGAGGTGGGCTCCCTTATAAGGTCAAAAAGTGTCCTTGAGGAGGAGGTTGTAATTGAGACCAGTGTTGCCTGGCCTCACCCTGTCATCCAGGCAGGAAAGAATCCATGGGAGTCCCGGCAGAGGGTACAGTAATGGAGAGGAGGTTGTGTAGAGAAAGGATACCCGTGGCATCCCAAGAGAAGCCTCTAGAGGTCAACAGAGATTGAGTTTATCCCAGACCTCTGGAGGAGCAATAGCTCTGGGCTTCTGGAGATGCGACATACCTCTGGCTTTCTCTGTAGTCTGTTCTCCTGGATTACAGCCCCATACTACTTTTAGGGAGCCATGTTCTCTCTGAAAAATAAACTCATAGGTAGCTCTAGTCTTTATGTAACTGATGACACAGAACCTGTGATCCTCCTGTCTCCACTTCCCAAGTGCTGACTTACCCACACCCAGGAAACAGTCCAAAATATACCTAACAATAGCTAGCAAAAGAAGAGAACTGGAAGCCGCCGGCAGTGGTGGCACACCCCTTTAATCCCCGAACTCTGGAGGCAGAGGCAGGCAGATCTTTTGTGAGTTTGAGGCCAGCCTGGTCTACAAGAGTTAGTTCCAGGACAGGCTCCAAAACTACAGAGAAACCCTGTCTTGAAAAACAAAACAACAACAAAGCAAACAGTTCCTGAACTTGAGGGTGGTATGGTGGGTGCCTGTAGTCTTGGCTATCCTGGAGGCTAATGGACCCTGCCTGTGAGCCCAGGAGCTCACAGACCTACTGGAGCCACATAACAAGAATTTTGTTTCCTAGATAGGCATGGAAATGTCTCTTTAATTCTCACTCTCAAGAAGCAGAAGCAGGTAGATCCCTGAAAGTTCCAGGACAGCTGAAGCATTGTAGAAAAATCCTGTATCCAAAAAAAAAAAAAAAAAAAAAAATCTGTTTTCCTCTCAAATATGCATTTTACATGACTGGTTTGGTTTGGTTTGGCTGTTCTGAAACTCAATGTGTAGACCAGACCAGGCTGGCCTTGAACTCAAGAGATCTGCCTGTTTCTGCCACCCCAGTAGGGGGTTTGAAGGTGTGCTACCATGCCTGTCTGTCTTTTCACATAACTTGTAATTGAGAACCTTCACAAATATCCCCAGTATATCCTGGAGCCCCTGTGTGACTAGATCTCAGGGATGATGAAGTGATGAAGATGTCAGTCACTTCATCTGAAATGCAGTCTCGTATTTTTAGATGTATTTAGATGTATTTTTTTATATGTTCGTATGTTTTGCTTGCATATAGGTATGTGCAGCACTTGCATGCCTAGTGCTTGTGGAGGCTTGAAGAAGACATCAAATCCCTTGGAACTGGAGTTACAGATGTTTGTGGTCACTATGTGGGTGCCGGGCATCCGAATGTGGGTCCTCTGTACAAGTAACTGTACAGACAGGCCTAAACTGCTGAGCCATCTCCATCCCTGATTCCCCCTTTTCCTTTTTTTTAAAAAAATACGTTTATTTATTGTGTGTCCATGTAGAATTAACCAGAGTGTGTGTAGGTGTTGGTTCTCCATTTGTCTGGTGAGGCTAGGAGAACCATCCCACCTATTGAAGGATGCTTTCCTGTTACCAAGGTGCTTTGGTTTGTGGGTTTTTTTTTTGTTGTTGTTTGTTTGTTTGTTTTGTTTTGTTTCTCAAGACAGGGTTTCTCTGCAGCTTTGGAGCCTGTTCTGGAACTAGCTCTTATTGACCAGGCTGGCCTCGAACTCACAGAGATCTTTCTGCCTTCCAAGTGCTGGGATTAAAGGCGTGCACCACCGCCTGGCCTGTTTGTTTTGTCCTTTTTCAAATCACCCTGTAGCCTAGATTGTTCAGGAATTTGCCATATAACTTGCCTTGAACTCTCAATAATTCTCCTCTCTTAGCCTTCTTAGTGCTGGGGTCTCAGGTGTAAACCAGCTCACCTGTCTGAGACAACATGCCCCAAGGGCTGTGTTCTGAGACAGAATTTCACAGGCTAAAGTGATCAATCATGTCTCAACCTGCTGAGAGTACAGGTCTCCGTTTCTGTACTGGCCTTTGACATCCTGAATTAAAGCCTGGAGGGGTGGGCTGGGTGTACCCCTTTAATCGCTGCGCTTGGGAGACAGGCGGACAGATCTCCTGAGGCCAGTATGGTCTACAGAGCTAGTTCCAGGACAACCCGACCTACACAGAGAAATCCTGTCTCAACAAAACCAAAAGATAAACTAAAACCAGCATCCTGAGGCAGAAGCAAGCAGATCTGAGTTCTCGGCCAGCCTGGTCCACATAGTGAGTTCCAGGCCAGCTTAGTCTATATATTGAGAAAACAAAATATGGAGGGGCTTGGAGCATGGATGTTTGGGGTAGAGAAATTGACCATGCTCACAGGACACCAGGTGGGAGCCTTCATGTGATAGCACAAGGGAGTTACCCCAGCTGTCTGAGCGGTTGGTCTCAGCACATGTGGGCAGCTCTGGGAGGTGAGCATTGTCAGTCTGTCAGCCTTCCAGTTGGCCGTAGTCCCCACGTCACTCAGGCATGGCATCAAGTAGGTTTTTGCCACTGTTTTAATCTTCCGGGGGGTGGGGTGGGCACAGGGTGGGCCCCAGAAAGCCAAACATGAGGCCTGACTCCTGAGTCCAGTGGGAAGGTCAGTTGAGATGACACACACCTTTAATCTCAGCACTTGGGAGACAGGCAGGTGGATCTCAGTGAGTTTGAGGTCATCCTGGTCTACATGGTATTTCAAAAAATTAAAAAGGCCACATAGTGAATAAATAAAAGACTGCATGGTATTTCAAAATAAAAGACTAATGGGAAGTAGGTTAGGTGGTCTCATTTCCCTCTCTCTGCCTCAGGTCACAAAATTAGGGTTCATGCTTTCCTTAAAAGCCTAGGTTATGTTACCTTCTATGGGCCCCTACAGCAGTGAAGGCCTCTCCAGTTCCGCCAGGAAATCCTGACAGGAGTTTCTCTGGCCCCTAGAAGTGAACCACAGAGACCTAGAAGGTGCCACCATGGCTGCTTCTAACTTCCACATGTAAAGAAGAAAGGGTCCCCGCTGTAAGACTGTTTACTGAAAAATGAATGCTGCCTTGTGCCTGCAGACTTCCTGAGGGTTTTGCAGCCTTGTTTTGAGAGAGTGAGTGAGGGAGTGTGTGTGTGTGTGTGTGTAAATAATTTAATGGAAAACTGCGGAAGGAAGGCAGTCTGACGGAGATTGGCCTCACCCACCAGAAAGCAGCTTATGAAGTGTTCCCCAGCGCTGTAGCTAGGAGTGTGTGCACCAGTGAGAACCCTGAGAAATAAACTGTTGCTCTGGGCTCTGCCTCTGGAGGCTGCGGTGACTGGATGGAGGGTTTCCTCAGGGGACAGTTTTCCTTCCGTGTCACCCTTCAGATAACTGACCTGGGGTGGCTGTTGGGGGATCCTTGGCCAGATCTAGACATCCTATTTCCAAGCAGTTTGTCATGCGTGGGAACGGGGGGGGGGGGGGTTCCGAGGGTGGCTCTACAAAAGAAGCAACTGGAGGACCACCAGGCTGGCTTCTGCTCCTGCCTCCTGGCCTCGCAGAGGCTGGGCTGACCCCCTACCCAGGCATCTGGGTGACTCCTCCTTGGTCCAGCCTCCTTAGCTGGGAGGGAGTAGTCAACCCGCTGTCCGGAGGCTGCTAGCCAAGGACACAAACATTTCCTTTTGTGGTGCCTTGGAGAGCCAGCCAGGGCTGTAGCCAGGGGCCTGAGAAGGACTATTAGCACGCACCCTGGATGGCTGTAGTGACCTTGGCTCACAGGAGCAGTGGCCCTGCCCATCAGGCCCTAGTCCTATCTGCAGATAAAGGCCCAGACTTTTTTTTTGTTTGTTTGTTTCCTAGAGCCCTCACAGGTGGCCAAGGAGGAAGTGATCCCTTCTTGGCTGTGACCCCAACTTCTTCCTATGTTGATGAGAGTGTTCTGAGGCTGTAGGTCAGCCAGACATCATGGAGGGGGAAAAGCCCGGGAATGGGCTGCCAGGCCCCCTTGCCCTTTCAGCCCAGGACAGAACCCTCTTTTTCAAAAGCCTTGGGTGCTATTTTTGGCCACTGAGGGGATACAGGGTGACTCTTGAGCCAGCAGACCTGGGATAGGAAGTTGGGGGCTGCCTGAATGGAAATGTGGTTGTTTCTGTTCCAGGTCTGCTGCAGCTCCAGCCCTCAACTGCGTCACACCAAAGTCCAAGGCTGGCAGGACTGCCAACCTACAGGAAGGGACTGCCCACTGCAGGCTCCCTGTACCTGCTCTGGGTACAGGAGAGTGGGCGCCCAGGCAGCCCAGAGCCTAGTACCCACCCTGCCACTCTGATCTTGCTCTATCTGCCATCTCAGGTCCTGGTATTTACCGTGTCCTCCCCCACCGACTGCTCAAGGCCAGTGTCTCACTGGTCAATAGCATTTCAGCACAGTGTAACAATTTCACAAGTTACTGAGGAATTTTTTTTTTCTGGTCTGGAACTCCCATTTAGATCAGGCTGGCCTTGAACTCACAAAGGTCCACCTGTCCCATCTTCCATCCCCAGTGCTGGGACTAAAGTCTTGCTCAACCTTGCCTGGCCTTTAACATTTTTATTTGTCATCTGACAGTGGTGGGGCACATCTTTTAATCCCAGCACTTGGGAGGCAGAGGCAGGAGGGACAGCCTATTCTACAGAGTAAACTGTTATGTGGGTACTGGGAATTGAACTCTGGTCCTCTGGAAGAACAGCCAGTGCTCTTAACTGCTGAGCCATCTCTCCAACCCCAAGAAACCCTGTATTGAAAAATAAAAACAAACAAACAAACAAAAGCCTTGTTTATTTATTTGGGACTGGGCCTCATATTTACATTGAGGCTGAGTCTGAACTTAGGATCCTCTTGTGTCTACCTCTCAAGAGCTGAGATTACAGATGTTTCAGGTGTTTAACACCATGCCTAATGTATTGAGCTTCAGACATATAGACTGTTGCATGCTAGGTAAGCAAGCACTCTGTTGGTTGGGCTACATCTCCAGCCTGGTGTAATTATTATTATTATTATTGTTATTGTTATTATTATTACTGGTTGGGCTTAGGACATGTGGGGGCTCTGTCCTTGTACAGAATCTATGGCCTTGAACAAGTTAGGCCATCAGTTAAAATGACAGGAAGCAGTATCCCCAGTCCTGCCCTGAGCCCTTTTAAAGCAGGGCTTTTAGGAGCAGCTCCTCTCCTGAGCATCTCCACCTGGTTTGATCTGAGGGAGTATCGTTTGAAACTGCCGCAGAAACATGATTCCAGGTCCAGGAAGCCTTTACCGTCCGTCCTGTCAGGCTGGTACCTAAGCCGGTCTCTGGCTGGCCCTCCCCGCCAACACCCCAGGGATTCCCATCCCTTATGCTTTCCCTAGACACTTCTGCTTCTCACAATGAGAAGTCACCTACTGCCTGAGCTTTCCCTGGGCTTTGCCCAGCCAGTTTTATCCAAATCTGTGAGAATGGACACGACCAGCAGTTTGGAAACCTTCCATTTGTGGGGCCCTGTGTTAGATCTCAAATTGGGGTGCCTATTTTACATAGAAAAGTGAACCTGGCCTCCAGGTTCCCCCAGCAGGTCTCAGTAACTGTGAGTTCAAGGCCAGCCTGGTCTACAAGAGCTGGTTCCAGGACAGCTAGGGCTGTTACACAGAGAATCCCTGACTCAGGAAAAAAAAAATTCTGTAGGCAGCCTACTTTGCTCAAGGCATAGGAACTGCATCAGTGGGCAGATTACACTTTCAGAATTTCCCTTCTTTACATTTTGAGATAGAGTCTCACTATGTAGACCTGACTTGAAACTCAAGAGATAGGGCTGCCTTGCCGTTTTTAATGCTGGGATTAAAGATTGCCACTATGCCTGAACTAATTTTCTTTTTAAGATTTAAAACTTTTATGTGCATGAATGCATGAACGTCTGCAATTATGTTTGTGTACTGTGTGCATTCCTGGTGCTCACAACCCTGCAACTGGATGGTTTTAAGCTACCATGTGGGTACTGGGAATTGAACATGAGTCCTCTGCAAAATCAAGTGGTTTGTTTGTTTGTTTGGTTTTGGTTTTTTGAGACAGGGTTTCTCTATGTAACATTTCTGGCTGTCCTGGAACTCGCTTTGTAGACCAGGCTAGCCTTGAACTCACTGAGATCCACCTGTCTCTGCCTCCCAAGTGCTGGGATTAAAGGTGTGCACCACAACTGCCTGACCAAAATCAAGTATTCTTAACCACTAATCTATTTCTCCAGTACCCTAAATATTTTTTTTTAAAGAGATGACATGAGCCTTTAATCAGCATATGGAAGGTAAAATAACAAATGGATCTTCATGAATCCGAGACTAGCCCAGTCTACATAAATCCCTAGTCAGCCAGGACTACATAGTAAGACTTTGTCTAAAAAAAAAAAAAAGTAGCCTGGCAGTGGTGGTGTATATCTTTAATCCTAGCACTTGGGAGGCAGAGATAGGAGGATCTCT